GCTCTTTGAGTACAATCTTATGCATGCAAAACTTGGGACTTATGCCTCTAATGTTCACAATCGTCCACCCTATCGTTCTTTAGTGCTTCTTTAGCACTTTCAACAACTTCTGCTCTATATCTTCTAACAAATCAGCAACAATAATAATAGATAGGGTTTCAGAGTTACCATAATCGCATACTTAAGATGTTATGGCAATGTCTTCAGCTCCAACTTGGGGGGTTCCCGATGGATGGTTTCAGCTATTTATAATTGCGGGCTTCCAAGTCCAGGGACTCATAAGTTGTTTTCAGTGATCGCTTCTTATGAAGTCGCTGCTCAAATATATTATTTCTTCACTTCTCTTTCTGATAGCGCCTTGGGCTCCAGCATCACTACTGATTTCATGCTCCAGCATTTGCTTCTTCATAAGCAATTCATCCATAATCCACAGGACTGAACACTCCTCGGGTTCTGCTGGATGTTTCATCGAATTAAAAGTGATAATGTGACTTCTTGGTGTTGAATTCTCATCATGAGTTCTCCTTTTTGCACATCTACCAACGCCTTTCCTTTTGCAAGGAATAGTTTACCAATATAATCGGGACCTCCTTATCTGCATTATAATGAACTTATCTACTTGTACCAAAACGTCTTCTATTTTCCCTTCCAATTACATGATGTAACAGTCTGTCAATTAAAGAGTCACTATCGTAGGCCTAGCTTCTCCAATGCCTAATTTCTGATAGATAGACAGTGGCATCAAGTTGCTGCTGACACCTAGATAGCAGAGTGCTTGCCCCATGCTCTGTCCTTCGATGGATATAGAAATAGTAAAGCTCTCAGGGTCTTTCATCTTCTTAGGGATTTTAATTGTCAAAATGGTACTACATTCCTTTATGAGCGCCACTGTTTCAAACTCTCCTAACCTCCTCTTATTTGTCAGGATTTTCTTCAGGAACTTCACATGATTGGGCATTTTTTCCAATGTCTCTACCTTGTATATTGATATGAAGTTGCTTCAGGACATCTAAGAATTTTCTGAACTGCGCATCCTGGTTTTTCTTCTGTAACCTCTTAGGATAAGGAGGTGTTAGACGGTATTCAGCTAGTATGCTTCTATGGTTTGCTTGCGGTTTCTTCTATTTCTCAACTGTTCGAACCTCTGATGCGCTAATGCGCGTTGCTCCAGCAGAGACTTTATCTGCACTGACTACTAGGCTATCCTTTTCCTTTTCCGCACCTTAGTTGACATCTCTATAGTTTGCGAACTGCTGTTAATTGTCTTTCTTGTCATTAGAGCCTCTACCACAAGCTAGTGTTCTAACAAGTGTTTAATGAGCCTCGACACTAGTTAGTATGTCTGATTCCTTTCCTTTTTCTTCAGTCCTCACATGCTCTTTGTCCACTCCTGGTTTCCCCTATCTATACAGATAGAATAGATCTTTTCATGGATAGCCTTAGATACATTCATTCCATTGATTCTTAGTTTTAGGGCTGAAAAAGCTCGTCAGGTGGTAATGTTTTGCCACTTATAAGTGTAAGAGCTTTACACTGCTCTTTCCCATCCCTCTTTGGATGTTCTGTATCACTGGACAACACTCCATGTGGTCTACTTTTCAGCTCTGTGACCAGCTGTCCCATTTGTACTTCTAAATTTCTTAGCGATGTTGCTTGGCTTTGCAATATCGCAGTTTGACTCTAGACAATAGTATCGTTCTTGGCCATATATGATTTGAAAATGCTTTCTAAAGACATAGACGTACCCTCGAGCTGCTTAGTCATTACATACTGGTTCTACCCTGAGAAACCAAGAGAATAATTTCCTTTTTGCTGGTATGTTGGAGCATTCAAAGTCCCTGACTATGCCTGCCCTCCTTGATTACTACCCCAACTCAAGTTCGGGTGTTGTCGCCACCTAGGGTTGTAAGTATTGGAATAAGGATTATTTTAGTTACTATGGTAGTTCCCTAAGTAAAATGCAGCCGCTGAGTTTTCTAGCATTAGTCATACTGTAGATATGGTTTTATTTGGATGCAAAAGACTACAAACAGAAGATGGAGTTTTGTGGAGATTACCAAGGTCTTGAATGGTGGGGGAAAAGGAAATTTGGTGTAACGGCTCGAGTTTTTAGATTATTTTATTTTGAGATTTAAATTGTACCTTTGGATTTTTCTAAGCTGATAATTAAATTCTTGGATTTTATTCTTTTGGAGTTCTAATTTTGGGTAAATTAGAATTTAAGTTTAATTTCGTTCGATTAAGATAACTTAAAGTTTTCGAATTTTGGAAAGATATTTTTAATTAAATTTTATTTCGAAGTTTTAGAAATTTAATTTTCTTTTTTGAATTTTATTTTTGGATCCAAAATTTAAGTTAGGCTCTTAATTTTTTTTCCCAAATCATTTTTAAAGTGAGTTTTTTAAAGAAAAAAGGATGAGGTAAAATCCTCCTTATTTAGAAAGTAATTAACGTTATTTTAGGATTTTCTTTTTATTAAAAGAAAAAAAATGGTTTTTGGGTTGAATAGCCATTTTACCAAGGTAGCATTGTTTTTTACCACTTTTTTCAAAACATATGTTTTCTAAACTTTGCTGACATCATCTTTGATACCAAATTACTTTCACTACCCCTCCACTCTTTTTTTGTTTAGATTTCTCTTTCTTATTCCCTCCATTTTTTTCCAGATTTTTTTTGGCTCTCCTTATTTCCCTCTCTCTCTTTTTCCAATTTTTTTTGTTTCTCTCATTTTCCATTAACTCATTGTTTCTCTTTCTTATTTTCTTCTCTTTTTCTCTCTTCTGCAACACTATTTTTCTCTCATAGAGAGGAGAGAGGGAAGAGAGAGAGCGAGAGGAAGAAGGAAGAGGGAAGAGAGGAAGAGGAGAGAGGAGAGAGATGAGAGAGGGGAAGAGGAGAGAGCGAGAGGAGACAGGAGAGAGGATAGAGGAGATAGAGCGAGAGGAAGAAGAGAGTGAGCAGGGGAAGAGAGGGAGGAGTGAGGGAAGAGAGAAATTAATTTTTATGATTATTATTTTGTCTTTCTCTCTCTCTAAAAATAGTTTTCCTCTCCCTTCTCACACCCCTTACTCCACGCCTACATCTATCTCTCTTCCTCACACCCCCCTCTAAAAAAATCTAGCGACTTTTTCTCTTCCTCTTCCTCAAGAGTAAGACTGAGACCATAAGCGAGATCGAGAGCGAGAGCGAGAGTAGAGATTTTGAGTAAGATTGAGAGCGAGAGGAAAACGGCGAAACCACCGGCGGCCAATAAAAGGAAAATGGAGTTGCCCATGGTCGGATCTTGCTCTCGACGGCTAGATCTCCATCTCGACGGTCGGATCTCCCTCTCAAACGGTCTTATTTTTAGAGGAGAGAAAGTGTGTCTATGAAATTAATTAGGGTTTTGTTCCATTCTAAATCAGAGCTATCAATTTTATTGGGTTTTTGTTTATGTTTTTGAGAAAAAATTGAACGAGAATGAGAGAGAAGAAAAGAAAAATGAGGAGAGAGGAAGAATGATGTCTTTTTTGAAGATATGGAAAAAAAGGGGAGGGAACAAGAGAGAAATATGGATGAGTAATGAAAGTAATTTGGTATTAAAGACGATATTAGCAAAGATTAGAAAATGGGCTTTTTTTTATTAATATTATTGTAAATGAAACTTATTTTAAAAATATTGTAGTTTAATTAAAAATATTAAAAGTATTGTAGGTTTTGAAACTTTTTTTAAAAATATTGTTATTTTAAAAAACTAAAAACATGTCTCTTTTAAATTTTTTTTTTTAATTTTGAACGTGATCGTCTCTTGAAGAGACGACCACCTCTTTTTTTTTTAATCCGTTAGTTGAGATACCACAAAACTCAGACCATTACTAACTTCATCTCCTTCTTCTTTTTCTTCTTCTTCACTGACCAAACCACTCAATTATCCATAATTCACAACCATACCCGGCCCGGAGCAGCTTTGAACCATCCCAAATACCTCATCAAATTTCAACTCCATCTTCTCCCTGCTCCCATTCCCGGTTACAAATTCAGAAATCTCCTTCCCGATGCAGATTACACGCAACCCAGAAATCTCCACCGGAAGCACGTCCGATATGCATCTCTGCACGCAATCGGTAAAGCTCCGGAGAGCATCGGCAGCGTAGACGCCGATCAGCAAAGGATTTCTCCCTGTTTTCTTGGCTAAAACCTCGGCGATTCGCCTGGAATTGGCGTCGTCGCCGCCGCTGGAGAAGGGGAAAGTGAAACTGCGGTGAGAGGGGTCGGAATCTGGGAGGTTGCAGAGGAAAATCGGGGGGCAGCGGGAGCGGGAGAATCGGGAGGGCTGGTGGGAGAGAGGAGGGTGCATTATGGCCAATTTGATATCGCAGCTCCCAAATCCGGCCTCGGCGAAAACCCTGCTGACAATCGGATCATCGAGAATGGAGATGATGAAATACTTGAGCTCGACTTTGAGAATGGAAGGGGTTTGGTGGTGGGTGTGAATATGGTGGAGGTGGAAGCTATCGAGGTGGCGGCGCTGGTTGGCCTAG